AGACCCGATTCCGATACTCGGTACCGCAACGTCGGGCATGGTCAGCGAGGCCCGTGCATTTTTCAGCTGGTTTGAGGAACTTAAACGGAGACCGAACAAATTGGAGCAGCCGTAATGATCGATGCACCGATAAATCATGCGTGAGAAAAGCAGTGCAGGAAGCTCACTTGCAAATATCTTCCTTGCTACGACCTCTGGGGCCGCCGTTCATCGACGTTCGACCCAGTGCGGTTTGGAGCATCCTTCAAGGTAGATCCATGATGAGGAACCGAGGAAAGCTCTCTACACAGTTAAAAATGTACGTGTTTATGGCTACTTTGAGTTGCTTTTTTTTCGGTCGGATCAGCCGAAAGGACTTGGTTCACTGGCCAATTTTTTATTAAATTGACAGATTATTCTACAATATAGGGATGAAGAAAGTGTCCTGCTGAACTAATGTGCGCTTGTTTCTCTTGATGTCACCTAGAGGTCTTCATCTGCGCGTGTTTAGTGCGCGCGATGGGAATTCAATCCTGGCGGTTCGTGCCGGATTTATAACGAGGCTGCAATTTTTCAATCCAAAGATTTTTTCAGTGTAACCAAAAGGATGATATTTAAATGCGGTTGCGTTTATCAGTGTCAATACAATTAAAATTGTCATTTTTGGTAACGATTTAGAACTTATTGAGCCAAAACACTGAATTTATACTGACAATAAACAATTTATTGATACATGCGAAACGAAACACGTAAACATGTATAAATAAATTGTTTATTGTCAATATAAATACAGTGCTTTGGCTACATAAGTTTGAAATTGTTACCAAAAGGATAATGTTTACAAGATAGATACACTTTTTCTCTCAGTTAAAAGAGGTACTCCGTCGTGCTAATAGGTACATAACGCCGTATGAACATTCAAAAATTGTCAAATTTTTCCTAATAAAATGCTCATTTCGTAGGAAAGCTGGGAATATTTGAAATTGCGTAGATGTAAGATTACATGGCAAGGAAAGTCTACTAAACATCTGAAAATTGTAGAGAAGGGAGGAAAAAAACAAGCTAATATTGATTTTGAAGTTTAGTGACATTAAGATCAAAATTAGAATATACTTCCAAGCAAATATCATATTTTCAGCAGAATTTCGTGAAATAGAAAAAATTGGCGCAGCCTACGATTATTCTCAAGTTCATTCGTTTCTCGAAATCAAAATTCGCTTTCTTCAAACTTGGAGCAAGCGAACTTGACCCTTTTTCCCTTACTTTTTCTTCGAAGTTATCGAACTTGACTTCATAATTTACATTGAAAAGTGGGTCCACCGACGGATACTTCTTCTTCTCCTTTAGTAGACAACAAACAGAGAGAGTTTACATTTCCGCGGCTAGAAATCGTCAACCGTTGGAGTACAATGCCACTTGAGTGCGGCTCGACGAGAGATGAGAAGACAATAATTGTTGTCGGTAGTCTCTGTGGCAATATCAATATCGTCATCCTCATCATTTCAAACATATGAAGGAAACCGACGAGGCCCGCCGACAAATTGACCAACCCGAACGAGAGGAGCACAGGACCGTTTTCCCCCTTTTTTTATTAGAATTTCTAAACCGAAAGATGCTGAGAATGCATGGGTCATAAACCTAAGCTCCGGTGATAAAAATTTAAGCCAACGCGTGGGGGGAGGTGCAACTAACATGTTATGCGGTCAATTTTCCTGCAACACTCTATGAGAAACTTTGCGGAAGATATAATAATTTGCTATAAAAAATGTCGATATTTTAATCTAATTTTGAAGTTGCTCGCACATTAAATTATTTTTTACCAATGTGAGGAATAGAATTAAAAAAAAATTAATATTATTTTTTTCATTCGAAAAAGGTAGAACTCACCACTCCTATAAGGATTTATTACAAACATTAAGCCGCGGTCACCTCCGGACATTATCGAGATTTTTTGAAAACTTTTTAGGATTATTGGTGCGAAAGTTTTGAATTGAACCTTGCATACAGAGAGAGAGGAAAAAAATCGAAATCGATTAAAGAACTCCTTGGCATGCAAACAAGGCAAATAGAGCCAGTTATTTAGAGCCTATTAGGACGGTTGAAAAAATGAAGAGAGTTTCCCCGTATGATCATACACCGCATGGCATACTGTTACTATTAGCCATGGTTGGCATATTTCACCGCCGCGCCGATTCGATAATCTTTGCGCATTTGCATGATTTCTTTTTGTTATCTTTTAATTAAAATAACCTGAATTTCTCCCCCATCTTAAGCCCTTTGTCGTAAGCCAATTTGCTTCCCAGCATGCATCACGCATTATGAATCATGGAGCGGCACCTTAGACCGTTGACACTCTCATACCTCAGACATCCTCTAAGTAGCTGCGTAAATACTAAATAGTGCCACATAACGCAAATTTATAAATCACGTTTAAATGGCACATTTTGTTATTAATGCAGCTAGGAATTTTCAATTACGCAGACCGGGAAATATCAATGGCTGAAAGCATCAGCCTAAATATAAGGAATGGGATCTGAATATTCCGCGTAAATGCTGCACTATGACCGAGTAGTTTTCTACATCAACCACAACGAAACTTACTCATGATTGTCAGCGTGTACTCGGCTGAAGGAAAATGACAAGAGATAGACGGGAGATTTTCATCAACGTGAAAAACCTTGGCACTGACCATAAATAAATACGAACTCTGATTTTTCTCAACAGTCCTTTACGCCTCCTTCTTTATGTTGGCTTTTACTTATTCGAGGTTCCAATCGATATCGAGAGACATTAGGTTCGGCGGATCAAGGAGAGAGCGAAATTCCGTTTAAATTTAGAGAGAAATCGATGGAAAAGTTGCGCCAAGTTAGATCTTGAAAGGAAGAAGCACTTGTAGGGATACGGTTCTCAAAATAAAACAGCAAAGGCGAAGAGGAACTCAAACTCTTGGGAATATTTTTAAGTTTTTCTTCCTGACAAATTTCCTTATCGACATTTAAAGTTGTGAAAAAGGCGGACTGAAACGAAAATTTTATCCGGCTTTCTGACGTAGAGCCTAAAAAAACCACAAAAAAGCGGTGTTTTCTCTTACTGATAGCATGCAAAATTTTACTCTTTTGGTCACAAAAAAGTGACGTCTCTTTTCTAACTTTTTTATCAACGAAATAAGACTTAGAAATTAGTTAGGTATAGAATAGTTAGTTAAGTATAAAATATATAAATGATTCTTTTGCGCGCCGATGACACGAATCTTTAACATTCGTATGTGCGAGTATAAACATGCACCAAAATGAGAACATGACACGATGACAAGAAGATTAAAGTATGGGGGAAATATCAACAGTTTATTAAAAACTGAGAACATTAGCCATTATTTTCGTCTAGATTTATGGTTAGAAAAATAACTTTACAGCTTAACTTAATCCACCTGTAGGTCGTTCAGTAGAAAATGCAATTCTTGTGTGACATTCCAAACTAATAAAGTCCCGCTAAGAGCCATGACTGATTATTTGACTGTGGTCATAAACACATTTACCAACTGACAATCCAAGCGTTCAATTCACTTTGAATTAAAAATGTCACCAATGAAATCGCCTCTGAACTTTAGACAGGCGTGCTCAAGCTTTTAAAGATCATGATCTGAGTAGTTGGTAAAACGGATAAATGAGACATTCTTTTTAAGTAACATATACAGCTTATTTTGATATTTCTTGGCGTCTTGATCTACAACGAAAAGAATCAAAAGATTCAAGGATTCTTTAAAGGGAATACTATGAAATCAGATGAGTACGCTTAGAAATTAGAATGATGCGTTTTCTAATCAATTGCCCTTTTGTTTCCCATTATGAATTATGGTGCAATGAAAATCATTCTTAATATTAGAATACTTATTGATTTCAAATGTAAAATGCATCTATTTAAGAGTTGGGTGCTTAAGTTTTCATAATATACGCTACTTGCCCATCTAGCTGTCTTATTGATGATGGAATATGTTCGCTGAGAGAATGGAAAACGTTTCGTGCTGAAATTAAACTATGATTTCCAGGAGTAGTAACTTGACAATTTCTGATCATAACAATATTCCCATTTTCAGAAGAATATAAACACCACATATGTCTTAGCTTTTAACTTATTCGAATAAAAACTGGTGCAAAAATAAAAAAAACGAACAAACAAAAAATCGTGTATGCGAGCACCAGTGACGGTAACGATAAAAAGAATGAAAATGAAATTGCACAGGACGAGATCCTTCCCCTAAGATAAATCAATGTAATCGCACGAGTCCTTACACATAATTAAACAATCTGCAAACAATCATACAATCTGCGAGTTTTGTACTGAATCTTATACTTCAAATTCCACGTAAAATAAAAAAATCAAAGCGATCAATCATCGAGCAGCTTCTACAAATTCTAAACTATAATCAATAAGAAAATGAAGCGGCTCATTTTAATAGATTATGCTCGCGTTTTTGATGCAAGTTCAAAATGTGTAGATTTTACCCATTGGTGATTTATAGGATGGAAATTTTTGGAAACAAATGATTTTGAATCATGCACGAATGTGATTGCTCTCTCACAAGTTGATTTCCGGCAGTGATGTTAGTTTTTCTGAGCGCTATAGTTACTTTAAAATTAGAAAACTACGCGAGACAGAACTTGTCCACAGTGCGTTCACTCTTGCAAAACGCACAATTATACATTTTAATATATAGGCTAAGGGTAGTAAATGCGCGACAATTTTGTGTGCAAACTATTTGTGTAACCCTACTTTGTCGTAGCCGAGAAGGTTTTAATGGGCCTCAAATCTTGTGTCGATCACTTGCTGTTAAAACCAATGTTGGTGCAATTTGCACTATAAAATAATACAAACAGTGCAGTGCTCTTTTAAAAGATTTTGATACTATGATGAGAACCTCCAATCGGGAAAAAATGAAAATATAGTATTTCGCAGTTTAAAATGCAAGAAAAGAGGAAAAAGATAAAATGCCGAAACGGCAAAAAAGGAGAATTTTGACTTACTTCTAATAGCTCTACTCCACGAATAACTTTTTCTGCTAAAACTACTGGAACATCGTTCACAGATCGAGGATAATAAAGAACTGCTAGAAGAATCCGAAGCTGTACTTGTCTCAATGACAAAAACACGATCACTACTGTCAGTGGACGCACTTTGCGAACTTAAACTTTCCGACCGACACATTTTGAAAAGGGACAAAAAATATTACAAATTTGCTAAAAAAGATCGAGAGCTAAAAACGGCACAACCGTATACCGGGTTCGTTATCGATATCAATGGGAGTAAAAAACGTAAAATGTAAAATCTAGTAAAAAAAATGTCACATGTCACAAACGGGGTGCGGAACGAGCGAGCGAAAAGGATCGCGCGAAAGAGGAACAGGTAATCTGAGAGTGGTTTAGGGTAGACCGTGCATGCGACTGGTCCGGCCTGATACTGCAGTCCGGCTTGGCGCTGCTCTATCGTGATAAATTCACAAGACCACGTGCGTGCAATGACGAATGTAAGGGGCTTTTCCGGGCCCGGCCAATCGGGGGCCGTTACGGCGTGTTTACTAGGTAGTGGGCGGGGCCGGCCCATTCATGAGAGCGCAGTCCTACCCCCACCCCGGGAGTACCTGAGGACCCGGAGATTCAATGACGTCACGCCGCAATCAATCAAGGTGCTCGCGCCAACCCATGCTGCACTGTGATTGCGGTCCGACTATGAAACGCTCAGGTAATCTTATCAGTTGACTACTCGCTCATCGACTATTGCCAATATCCCATCCTACTTACTTCCGGCCATAACGTCATCGGGCTCGCCGAGTCTTCCACTCGTTTTTTCGGACCCTTCAAATCTTTTGGGATTTTTTTTCGGGCTCGGATTTTAAGCTCGATGAGCAATGACGACATGCTGCATACCGCACCGACTCTCATCTTATGAGTAACTTTGATGACACTTGACGACATGTAATCGGCATTCCAACATCAACACCACCTTATGCTCGTTGAGTCGTAATCGGTTTAACTTTCTTCACTGCCTCTGAACAGTATCTTGAGCGACCATAATTTTTTTTTTTTTACTCAGATGTATACTTCAGCACATTGTTTTGTCCCCTTACTTCTCTCCTTACTCGTCTTCTTAATATTCTGTTTCGTTCCTCTCGATTATGAAAATATTAGCAATTTTTTTTTTTTGATAATCCGTCTAGCCAACAGCAGTGATACTCAAGTATAAATCGTTCCCCGAGAAGAGCTTAAATAATTTAATGAAGATTTCGTTACTCACTGATAAAAATCTACAAGGGAATATACCTGGTTTAACAATCGATATTTTGCGGGCAGAAGCGATGTGATAAAAATACTTAATTCTTAAAGTAGCATTCACATTTTTGATGGGTCAATAATTTGATTTCAATCAGTGACTCATGCCTTGATTTTTACGGGCCCTTGTGTTTTCTTCAACATAAATCTTATTCCTATGATTTCCTACGATTTTATGATTTTTTCAGTGTCTAAAGTTTTAAATTAAAATGAAAAAAAATAGTGTTGACATGGAGTGGAGGCAGCTTTTGCTTGTCACTTTAAAGCTCAAAACTGAAAAAGATAGACTATTGAAAGTTGGAAGACTTGGAGTAACTTTATCTCAGCCTGCGACTATAATAAAACAGAAACTTTCATTTCCTCTTGCGTGAATTACTGCCCTCATGAAGTATTTCTTTTTGACCCCAGAAAAGTTCAAGTACCTACAAATTAAAATTGGGCTGTTCAATCAGTGTGTGTGAAGTTATAAAAAATGATCCACAAATTGCTATGATTCCCTGCATGGACTGCCAAAGTAAAGGTGATTTTCAATGTTCACTATAGTTTCTAAAAATTGTCCCCAGATAGTTTGTGTTGACACATGACTGACAAATTTTAAAATGAATTGTAGGTAGAAAAAGGGACCATATTACTCAATACAGTAGGAAATGCAGATCTCTCCTATAATAATGTGAATGTGTGGTAGATTTTGTATCTGAGATGACGTCAATTTTTGCGCATTTATTGCTTTCTTGTAATTCTTGGTTTTCATGTTTTGTTTCGTTCTTTTCAAATAAGAATTTAGCAAAATGGGTCAGATCACCTAAATTAGATGTACGTAATTTTGAAGAAAAGTAAATTTTGAACATTTCGTCGTTTCTTCTTTTTTCGATAACATGGCCAGCGGACCGATTATTGAAACCGATAGACAAAGACGCCAAAAGGGATTTGGAGGGATCCTATTGGTAGAAGCGGGTGGTGGCAAATGGACATAGGAGGTAGGTAATGGACTAATTAACAGCAACCCACCAAAGACCCGACATTTAGTCCATCATTTTCTTCCTTAGTCTGCAGGAACCAACCATATCAACCAATAGGATCGCTCCATACTCCTTATGTCTTCTTTGTCTATCGCTTTGTCTATCAATTTCGGCCCGCAGTGCGGTCCACACTCGTCGGAGCAGAAATCTTGCACAAACTTTCCGAGAGACTTTTGGTTGATAGATGGTGCTCGAATAAGCTCGGTGGAAATCTTCGATGGAAAAACTTAGGGTATGCTAAACTGGAACCTAACAGAGCGCGAGGGATGATGCGCAAGTCTATGTCCGCATTTCGCCTTCAATTAGGGAGGTATACTACAAAATATCCTGCAAGAATTAATAGTCACACATTCAAAGAAATACGAAAATCCATCCTGAAGTAAATCCCGCAGAATGTTGTAATTGTGCGGGCAGAAAAGCACGCATAACTTTGAACATTCGCATTACAGTCTTGCGTGGATTGTAAATTCGTATGTGTTACTTTCTAAATTCATGGTGGCTTTCATCATAGATGAGCTGATTAGATCAGTACGTATGTAGGTGTTTTTTCAATCGGATGACTAAGTTTTCAGTCACAAGAACTGACCTCTTCAGTTTTAACTTTTGAATGGAGATGTTGCATGTGTGAGGAATTTGCGATTTGACTGTTGCTTCTTACGTAAAAGTTCGCGAGAAACACGATGGTGCCACTGGCTTTCTCTGAAATCAACTCCCAAGCTCAAAAAAAGCTCTCAAGTTGAGACCAAAATGGAAGGAATATCCTACCCTACCCTGAGAGTCCACGTCTACATCAAGGCAAACTCTCCATGCAAAGATAGGGAGCAAATACATTAGCAGTGATGCCGTGTTCTCAGTTTTAGAGTCCCCAAATGAAGTGGCAGCCCTGTCAATGTATTTGCTCCCTATTTTTGCATGGAGAGTTTGTCTTGGCGTAGACGTGGACTCTCAGGGTAGGGTGGGATATTCCCTCCATTTTGGCCTCAACTTGAGAGCTTTTTTCGAGCTTGGAAGTTAATTTCAGAGCAAACCAGTGGCACCATCGTGTTTCTCGCGAACTTTTACATAAGAAGCAACAGTCAAATCGCAAAATTCCTCACAAATGCGACATCTTCATTTTGGGTCGGTGAACCGATGGCCCGTCCAACGCACCGATAACGTCGGTTCGGTCGGAGAATACGCTCACATTGATCGAAGTTGTTCGTTTCGTTGAATTGAAACTTTGGTTTTGCTTAACTGAAGGCTCCAAACTCCGAGCCGAAAAGTACTTCTGCAACCTATCAGTTCGTATAACTGATACTTTTTTTCACCGTATTGTTAAGTGTTTGTAAGCCGTCAAAACTAATTTCTCTCCTCCACTTTCTCAGGAAAAGAAAAACTTTCCCGACATTTTATGGAGAACTACCGCAAGATTTCTTCCCGGCCCCCCTTTTTCACCCCCTTACGTGTAGATTTTTCGCCGAAAAGCTTCCATATTATAACTCAGTACTCTGCAGGCAGCTACTAAACTTTAATTCCTATTATGCGCTTTGACTAAGAACATCCCCCCCCCTTATCCAAGTAGTTTTTGGGACATTAATCGGCGAATCTTCTCGAAGGTATGACAGTTTAACTCCCTTATTCCACCGGACCCGGTACAATCCAGAGTCCGGGGGTTTCGATTTCCACTCGCACCCGTCTCGCGCGACCATCCAAATATGGAATGGGTTTCGACCGAGCGGTCGTCTATGTGTTAAAAATGACTTTCCAATTTTTTTTAGAAGTGAAGTGCCCTTCTTAAAAGATGCATAGAGAATCGACTATAGACTTGATTCATCTCTGTTTCGTAACGCAGCTCTTCGCTCTGAAACAAATACTAGGAAACAAAATAAAAACTAACGTAAAGAATAATTCCATCAGTCAATTCTCAAGTAGTGGACGTATACCGCATAATTTATTAGAATTAAAAGTGTGCAAATAAAAACTTCGGTTATGAGAATTAATTTGAAATTCTGTACTACAAGCCAGGCTTCTATGCAAATTGCTTTCAACGAACAGACCTGATTTCTCCAGAAAAATAGGTTCCTTTTCGCTTAACACCATCCATAAGTTCCTATCTCAAGTTTCTAATGTAAACATGTAAAAATTTCCGATAATTAGCTGTGAAGTTTCAAGCATAAACTGACCGCAAGGCTTACGCAAACTTTAGGTATCAAACTGATACCTAAGGGTTTCACCTTACGCACTAAGGGTGATGTCTCATCCAACTTTGTAATGGAAAAAAAGGACCAGTCTCATTACGGGCAATTTTCTGCTCCCTGGAGGATCAAATTTGAAAAAACTTCGTGTTTCTTAGAAATGTCTTCTTCGATTTACAAGTGTCCAGTCCGTTAGGCTCCTTTTTTTTTTTTTTTGGCGTTGATTCCCACTATCCATAACTACCACACAATTCTGACACACATATCGTCACCTCTCGACCGAAGTATCACAAGCACCAAGCGACGTTTAAAAATTTCCGCCGCCATTTTATTTTTTGCAGAGGAATTGTTGGTTGAGTCTGTTTGAAAATTTAACTGAATTTTACCGGCAGCACAAAGAAAATTCATTGAAATTTTCGGACGGCTTCGTTGAAAAATTTCTCTTCAAAAAGACAATATAGCGGCGGAAATTTTTAAACTTCACATGGCGCTTGTGATACTTCGGCCGGACGGTAACGGTGTTAAAATTTCGGAGAGTGAAAAGGGCGGAACGCTTAAATTGAGGGGATCGTCGGTTGGATTCGGACGAAGGGTGCTCGGAGCAAGGGCGGAGCTTAATTGACGCAACGCAGCGGCGAGGGTGCAAAACTCATCCAAGTCTCGAGCGGCGCAGTGCAAGCAAGTACAACGCCACCATTTTACCCCTTTTTTAACGTCTGCGCTGTGCACCCACCGAGACGCATTTCCATCGACCGCTGCGTCTAGCCGCGGTGGGAGGTGGCACTTACGCCCTCATGCCCACCCCCAACTTCGGGAGTGGGTGTCATTCCGCCGACTCCGATAAGATCATATTAGGAACTTACTTCGGCTCCTCTAAATGCTTTCAAAGTTTTATATTAGTTTGTGTTCTATCTGTAGTTTTATCGAATCTTGCGTTATCCTCATATGCCACGAGTTCGGTTGATCAAATAAAAGCGGAA